TAATTTTCTTGGTGTCTGAAGGATTTGTAACTGCCAATGAACGAACTAGTAATTCCGTATGGCAATTGTGTGCGTGTTAGAAAAACCACCAACTGGGTCAACTAGCACAAAAACTAACTTCACGCGCAGCAAGTGCAGTACACAACACTGTCTGTGTGTGTGTGTGTGTGTGTGCGCCTGTGTGTAGCCTTGGCATCGCACCGCAACTTGCTCAACCATCAAATAAAAATCAAATCAACTCAAAGTGTCAAAAAACTTGCCAGCTAAATGCAATTTATGAAAATGCACAGAGCCAGCTAAAAATTCCATGCGAATCGCATAGAGGGGTGCAAATTGAACTGCATTTATGTACACTCATGCGTATACAGTAAACGCTCGTGTAACGAACAACCGACCTGGGCAAAAACTGTTTTTATTTTTAATTTGTTTATTTATTATTATCAATTTCTCTACTCATTCTTTATTCATTAAGTGGAATATTTTACTAAGTAACTTGTAATATACTCACATCGTCAAAATCGTTCAGAAATTGTCTTCAGATTTGAACAAGATTTTTTGGTATTTTCAAACACGTTAATGAATCTTCGCATTTATGAGTTTGACCCTGCTCTACATCTATTAAACAATGGACTTAGATATTATTTTCTTTATGGAAATCTTCTCTATATTTATTAAGTAATCCATTATACTCTTCTGAGATATCTAAAAACAATATCAAATCGGACTAGTATATCACATGGATCGATCGGAAATCATGTTTTTATACAAAATCCCTTTATTTTCCGTAGTTCTGCAAGGGTATTTATTATTCGGTGTTTTCCTATATACTGTGTTTTTTCTAGTTCTTGAAAATGTCTTTTAAGCAAAAATCTTGCTCAGCAAAACAAACAAAAATAATAAAAAAAAATGTAGATGTTCGCTCGCGAGAGCTTTTGCTGTACGCAAGTGCATGTGTGTGTGCGTGTGTGTGTGTGTGTGTGCGTGTGTGTTTACAAAACTGCAATAATGCGCGGCGTCCTTCTGCACTTGCCGCTCCCACCTCCCCGCTCCCCGCACCCAACTTATCCACTGACAGCAGCCACAGTTCACAATACTGAGCGCAGCGAGATGTGGGTGTGTGTGTGGGTGTGTGTGTGTGTGTGTAAGTACTATATGGAGTGGCTGTGGCACAGCATAAAGTAAAGAGTGGTGCATTTTGTGCTGCTTGGCAGCTCGCTGTTCCATGCATGTAATTTCATTAGGGCAGTAGGACAAACACACACTCACGCACACGCAATATAAGAGCGTAGTTCGCTATGCGAGAGCATAGAAACTGCATTTGGCCACACGCACACGCACACACACAACAATTTGAGCGCCTTTCACTTTCAGCCGGCAGCTCTAAAATAACAAAAACAATAAAAAAAAAAAAAAACAAAAACCAAAAACAACAGCACAAAAAAGACGAAATTCGCCGTGTTGACAAATTCCAAAAACATCAAATAGAACCGAAAGAAGAAAAAAAAAACTTTAACAATTCGCTTGGCGTCTTAAGCTATGCGTATTATGTAATTGTAGGGCACACACATGTGTGCGTATGTGTTTGTGGGCAGCGCAGCAGCAGCAGCACGCCAAGCAAAGCCAAGCAGACCACACACACACACACACACACACACACAGACAGCGCAAGAGAGACACTTCATTTCTTGGCGTTTTCTTTGGCTCGGACTATGCAAACACAGACACACACAAACACACACTTATACAGAGGAACATACTTATGCATGAGCATGTATTTTGCCTTCTGCTGCTGCTGACGCTGACGCTGCTACGTTTTTAATATTATCGCTGTCACACACACACACACACTCACACATACACGGGCACACCGAAGCAGCGCCAGAGAACGCGCAGCAGCCGCACACACACACACACACACACATACACACAGAGCGCAAGCATGTCGCCGCCTTTGTCCTGCTCAGCGCTATTCGCTGGCGTCTTTAAATGCTGCCGCTGCCGCTGCTGCTACGATTTTGTCGCCGTCTTCGCCGCCTTCGCCGTCGCCTGTTTTGCCATTTTTCTTTTACGCCTGTGTCTGCGCCTGTGTGTGTGTGTGTGTGTTACGTTTGCCGCTCGCGCTGCCAGTGTTTATTTTTCGTCATTTCGAATGTGACTGCGAGTGTCATTTTGGTTGTTTTTTTTTTTTATTTATTTTTACTTTTTTGCTTTCGACTTTGTCCGCTCTCAGTTCGCCGCATTCTGATACCCTGCGCATAAAGCGTATTTGGGGCATATGGGTTTGATGCACTGTTCGTGTCGAATATATACGCATTACAGTAAGTGTTAAAAGTATGTGAATCTTCTGTAAAGTATGACAAAAATCACAGTTTGAGAGTCGCTTACAGTCTGAGAGTCACTTTTCATATGATCTAATATCGATAGCAATGCATTGTCTGCTGAGCAATGCGCAGTCGATGACACCCGGCTCTGGCTTGGTTTTGTTTTCGTGTCCCTGTGTGTGTGTGTGTGTGCGCTTGTGTCATTGGCATTAATTAAACACATTTATGGAGTGGATTGGCCAAAGGCAAGAGCAGCAGCAGCAGCAGCAGCAGCAGCCTGTCGGCCAGTTGGCCACATTTTCAGCCATTCAATTATCGATTATGACATTCATTCACAGCTTTTGGCTGGGACGAAAATAGCAAAACCGAATCATCTCCTTTGGCCAGCCGCATCCCTTTGGCCAGTGTCCACGGGCGGTCGGGCGGGCGGTGGGTGGTGTCAGTTGTCAGTCAGTTCACCACTCAATTGGCTCTCGCTGTGTGTGTGTGTGTGTGTGTGTGTGTGTGTATGAGTGCGTGTGTGTGAGTGCGTATGCCTATGTGCTGCTGCAACTCAAAAACTAATCTATTGAAAGCTAGACTTAAGACTTAGCCCAATTGAAAAGGCAATCTGTAGAATGCAGCTGAATGCAGCTTTCAGAATTAGCCTTTCCAAAGGCGGCAACAGCTCAAATTCAACGCCTATTGAACATAAAGTGCATCGTTATCGATAACACAATATGTGCAGGCTGCAGGCACATATTGTGTTATCGATAACAGCAAATTGTTTTGCACCAATTTGAGCCCAATTCGAGGGCAGCTCTCTATTGAAGAGAAGGCTTTTGAATTAGCCTCTGCACAATGCGACAACAGCTCAAGTGCATCGCCTATCGAACAGCTGCTGCCTGCACATATTTTGTTATCGATAACAACACTTTTTGACGCGATAGTCTGGACTTAAGCCCAATTCAAAGTGCAATTGACCGCAGCCTGCATTTGCCTTGAATACCAAAACCTGCAAACGTATGTTTAATTTTGCATTTATCGATATACTTATCGCTTAATGAAATACTAAGCGAGTCCATCAATTCCAGCTGAAGAGTTTTCTTATTGTCTTGTAAAGAAGGAGACCATCAAAAGTTCAATGTGCAGTTTTTCGCATTGACTTCATCAATATTCATATATTCATTCCATCGATGTGATCGTTAAGTGTTTACATATATATTTATCGATAATTTGAGGCAGATAAATATGTACGTGCGCTTATATTAATTTTAAACTTAATTTATCCATAAATTCGTGTTCAGATATATATTTACCCACGCATCGATAGTAATCGATAGCCAAAATCATTTAGCTTTTGGCCAAATGAGGCTTTTCTTTCACGATCGATTATCAAGCTATCGATAATTCCTTATCGATAACAAGAAAAGATAAGCAACAAAAATATACCATATACTCATTGTGCATAGATAATTAGCTATCCATTCAGGCACTCACTAGAGCATTAAATAAAGCAATGAGACTCGCAGAGAGAGGCACGTATTTGATTTCACCTTTCGCTTACATTTGCTAATCCCGTCGAATTGATCGCAATAAATTGAAATTCAACGTTGCAGCGAACGGAAATCAAACTGCGAAAACCCAATCAAATACACGACAATAATTGTATTCGGATTTTGGTCTAGCCAAAAGGAAAGTACCGTAAACTAACCCAACCCCCCCCCCAACACACAGACACACACACACACACACACACACACACACACACACACACCCCATCCAGTTGCTGGCCAGTGCCATGCTCTTATTGTATAGCCAAAGGCAATGCTACCGCAGAGAAAGGAAAAAATAACAAGGCGCAGACAAGAGGCGGCTATACTAACAACAACAACAACAATGAGAATAGAAGAAGAAGAAGAAGAAGAGGAAGAAGAAGAAGAGAAAGAAGAAGCACTCACACTCACATCCTTAAAGGCGGCAATAGCAGCGCCAAAGGCCTAACCCGAGGGTGGCGCACACCAACACACACACACACACACACACACAGTCCAAAGCGATTGAGTAATTTTGCGTGTGTGTGTGTGTGTGTGTGTGTGTGTGTGCTGCTTCTGCGGCCACACACAACTTCATTAGAAGCGAGAATAGGTTTTGGGTTTGGGTCTGGGATATTTTTTTTTTTGCTTTTTTTTTTGGGCATGTGACAATTTTGCTGCTGCTTTGTTACATAAATACACAAACACACACACACACACACATACAGCAAGAAATATATGAGTAAAAAGTAACTTTAAAGCAATTCTTAAAATTGGCTATTGTTGTCGTTGTTGTTGTTCGCTTTACTTTTGCGTAATTTGTCAACTAATTGGCGCACACTCACACACACACACACACACACACGCAAACGTCTTGGCTAGATTCCTTGCGTGTGTGTGTCATGCAAATTGGATTAACGGTACAACACAAAGGCAGCTGGAGCAAGCACGTTGACATTGCCCCCCTCCGCTAGCCTTCCCAACCGCTATCCCCCACACACTCGCATAACAAAACGAAAGCTTTGCATAATTCGCGCAATTTTGACTATGCCTTAAACCTCACACATGCAGAAATAAAATTGTAAGAAAAAAAAACAAGAAGCAAATATACATATATCTTTTATATCATTCTTTTTCTTTTTTTTTTGTCACACTTTGTACGCACATTTTGCAGCAGCTCATCTTCTTCATTCGCTGGGATCCTTTTGCGCTCTTCGTTCGCTCTTCCGCTCACTCTCTTCTGGCTGGCTCTTACGCTCTGATTTGTAAGCCGCGGCTCACGCGGGTTCTTTCTTGTTTTTCAAAACAACAACAAAAACAAAAAAAAAAAAAAATAACACACACAGAGAGAGAGAGAGACACGCACAACTTTACGCATAAATGATGGCAATAGATTTAAATTCGAAACACAAGTGTCAATAATTATTTTTGTTGTTACAAATACAATTGTAAGAGCGAGAGAGAGAGAGAGCGAGAGAGAGGGCATACGAGCTCGGCTTGTAATTCGCACACGTTGCTGTTGTTGGTTGTTGTAATTGTAGTTGTTGTTGTTGCTGCTGTTGACATTACTTCAGTGTTGCAAACAAACAAAAAAGAATAGTTGGACTTTTGCTTTTATGCTTCTGCTTTCTTCAGCTGCTGCTGCTGCTGCTGCTGCGGCTGCTGCGGCTGCTGTGGCTGCTGATGCTGCTGCTGCTGCTGCTGCGGCTGTTTTGAACTTTAAACAAACTACTCAAAAAAACAATTGTAGAGCGCACGAAATAGCTCCGCACCACATGACCGCACTACACGATTGACAGTTTGGCACTAAACGAGCTTCGCGAGCTTATCAGCCAGCCGTGGCCGAAGTGAACGAAGCGAGCAGCTCGCATAGCCGAAAGGAGAGCCAACCGAACTGAACGATGCTCGCTGTGGGTATGTGTGTGTGTGTGTGTGTGTGTGTGCGCGCTACACTGCTATCTGTGCATATATACATATATATGTGTATGTGTGTGTGTGTGTGTGTGTGTAACAGACAGAAGATGTGCGCGACTGTTACAAAAGTTGTAGCCAAAATGCCCGAGCAGCACTTTAGACATGTTTCCCATGTTCATTGAAGAAAGCGCAAACAGCATCGACAGCCCATTGGGAAATGGCGCGCATGTGTTAATGGGTTTGTGTCCTGAATAACTAACACAGACAGGCCATAAGATTGCGAGAGAAGGAGAGAGAGAGAGAGAAAGGAAAGTAGAGAGCGCGTGCCAGAAATTGCAAGAACAATCGCTGCAGTTCGTAGCTCAGTATGGTGAAATGCTTACTCCAACTGAAGCGAATATGATCAGAGAGAGAGAGAGCAGCTCTAGAATGCGCTCTTTCAATTGATTTCGCCGCGTTAAGTATGTTTCGGCAACTATTAACCGTTAAGAGACAGACTCCTTCAACTTAAGAAAGTTAAATCTATTTTATCTTTATATGTTGAAATGCAACAAAAAGAACATGTTTAAATAGAGAAAAGAAAAATGAAAAGTGTTGTATTAAATTAACGGTATTTTTGCACATTGTGCGCAATTTCGAGTCAATTAACGGCATCATTAAAGCGCAACTCTTGTTCAGCCCTCATTCGTATTGTTCATTTTCTAATCAATTTGATTACAATTATAAATTAATGCTTTGCTCCGTTAGTTTATATTAAAAAGTTGACGATTGCCGCTGCGTCAGATAAAACTTAGATAAAGCAAACATAAAGTTTGTGCACAGCATAAGCTCTCGAGAAATCGGCAAATACAAAAATTAAATATTATTTGCACGCTGCGGGCGCTGCGCATTTCCCACTGGGGCCAAAAGCGTCAAAAACAACAAGAACAACAAAAGCAGCAGCTGAGCGGAGGGGCGGCAGTGGCGGGGCGGCAACGCCGGCAGAGGCAGCAGCAGCCAGTGGCCCTAAGGAAACGCCAAGTGCCATGTGCGCCGCTTAAATCTGAAGCTCAAACTGACTGCGGGTGTGATATATATATATGTGTGTGTGTGTGTGTGTGTGTAAGTAAGAATGTGTAAGTGTGTGGAATGGTGGCGGCGCAATGCCGAACATTGTGCGGCCTTGTGGCCAAGCTGTCTGTCTATCTATCTCGCTCGCTCGCCCTAACTCATAGCCGTTCTGGCTGTGTGTGTTTGTGTGTGCGCCTGTGAGCTTTGGAAAGCTGCGAGAAGAGCAAACGGCAACACAAACACAAACAGAAACCAAAAAAAACACACACACACACACACACACAAACTAAAAAAAAGTAACAGAAACGGAGACCGAAAGGCCACAAACGGCAAACGTGATGCGCGCATGTGTTTTATCTTCAATCTCAGTTGAAATCATCTGGCGGCCGCTGACGAAATGAACGTAACTCGCCGCCGCCCCCACGGTAACAGCACACCACACCACAGCACGACACACCACAACTCAACTCACCTCACCTGCCTTGGCACTATGAAGGGCAATAGGTTTTGGGCTCGTGTATCTTGGCGCGCGCGTTCGGCTCGATGCTCGTGCGCCTCGGCTACACATTAAGTCACGCTCAGTGTGCGCGAGTGAGATAGATAGCGTGCAATGGGCTGTGGGAGGCGGTTTCTGCGCTTTGTAACGGCAAGAAATTTGTACTTCCGACGGCCATAGAAGATTTTAATTAAAAGCAGCAGCAGGAAATGTGACCCAAATAATACTTCCGTATAGTGTGAAAAATTGCCACGACTTGACGCTTTGGACAAACCTACCGCCTCGCCTCGCCGCGTCCCGTCCCGCCCAGCAGCTAGCATTGCTCATTTGCTGCCCAATTCGATGCACAGCGAACGTTGGGTTCGGTGCGGGGCAGTAGCGCAAAGGGGGTGGGGAACCGAGCAAAAATTAACTGCTAACTATTTAATTAATGCATATCCATTTGCGCAACATTTTCAATTGACACGAATGTCCTGCAATAATTCGCTGGAGTGCATGTCACACGGATAATGTTGAGCCAGCAGCAACTTACGGTAAAGCACATTCGCAGGCTGTACCTCCCAATCCCCCCACCGCACATCCCGCCCACGCTTTGCTCTGCCTCTCTAGCTCTAGCTCTCTTTAACTCGCACCTCTCGCTGCGCACCTTTAGCGGAGTTTGTGACTACCTCGACCACCTGTTGTGGCTTCCACTTACCCCTTACTCCTTGCCCACCCCCCTCCCTGCCGCCCTTACCCGCTGGGCTTGTGCTTTTTTAAAGGCCATTCGCAAGGCCAGAGTTGCCAGATCGCACAAGAATATATAAGTCTTTCTTTTGCCTCTCCGCTCTGCGCACCTACTCCTCACCTAGAAGACTTTTGAGTAGTCAGAAGTAGTCGGAAGTTTCTTCTTCTTTTCAGTTACTCAAGTGGAATGGAATTTCAGAAGTTCCTCGAGTATTCGCCTCGAGTCCTTACGGAGGACTTGCAAATGATTTTTTGCCACCCTTCAAGTTCTTACGATGCTTTACATATCCGGAGCTGACCTACAGAATTCTGGACTTACCCAAGTCTTGGATAGTTCTCTAGCATGGGATAAGACCAATATGAGCCGTGGCCGACTAACAGTTACCCTGTAACCATTTACATCATCAACATCAACATTTTCTTTTAAAAGATATTGTGAAAGCAAGCATGCACGGCCACTAAATACCCTGTTACCCCTTATATATATATTAAAATCTCTCTTCTAGTTGTTGTCAGGGCTAAAAGTCGATTTAAGCTTTTATTAAAATAACCCACGGTAATTCTAACTTCTGGAAATTGAAACTAGAAGAGAAAAGCAACATCCTTGAGGGTATTGAATGCAAGTCCTGATATTTGCATACGGAACAAACTATAAATAGGGCTCGAAGGGGAAATGAGCAGCAAAAGAGACGAGCAAATTCCAGGTACAGAAATCGGAGCTCTTACTGTTACCCAAGGCCAGACTTTGTTCAAGCTAAATAACAAAGGATGACCACTCCAGGTCAGTTATCCAGGTGTTGTTGTTATGGTTTTCGATTGGATTTCAGCCTTGTGCCTTGGGTCAGGTCAGCGCAGCTATTCTTGGCCCCTGCGCTGGGATTGGGGCACGAAATCAATATGTGGCTCTAGCTGGAGGGTCCTTGTGCCTGGCACACGCCGGGCCAAGCGTGGCGACTGCAATCAATACCAAATTATCAGCGGCAATTAGCGACATACCATACCGTACCCCCCCCCCCCCCCCACCCCGTCAGCAGCCCTCCGCATGCCACCTGAGTGGAATTGGCGAAGTGCGCGCCAAACGGATTTGCCGCTAACGAGGACGAGCGAGCGAACACTTGAGCATATCTGGCATTTGCTCAACAATTATTCAGCATATGGCCGTGCTGCAGATGCAGATGCAGATGCAGCAATCTCTTTGCCCGCCCCCGCCCGGCACTTCTGGTCGGATGCTGCTTCAATGGACAGCTGCCACAAATGTTCGCACAACGCGGCGTATGCGCAACATTTCCAGCTGCAGCTCATGACAAGTGCCAGAATTTAGAGATTTCCTATCGCAGCAGAAAACACACACAACAGACACACACACACAACTGCTCAACATTTTATGGCAATTTTTCAAAAAAAAAAAAAAAACCTCGCTTCGAGCTGTCTCTGGCAGTTGGCAGAGTGTAAGCCGGATGAAGGGGCTGGGGGAATGGGGAAATGGGGAAATGGGGAAATGGGGCAATGGGGGTATGGGGGATGAGCAGGATGTGTGGAGGTGGGGGTGGGGGGTGTTTGTAATAATTTGCTGTTGATTTAATTTCACATTCGCATACAAAATGAAATTTGCATTTCATGTGAGAAAACGTCTTTAACGAGCATTCAACTTCTAAATATGCCAATCTGTATGCCCCCAAACCCAAAAGGCGAAGCCCAAAGACCGCCCGGCCACGCCCACTTTAACCCACTTACCCGCAGTACATGACAGTTATGCGCCGGTGTGTGTGTGTGTGTGTGTGTGTTCCAATTCCATGCTACCCCATGACATTTCGAGTTACTTTTTTCCGCTGTTATAAAATAAATGGTTACATAAATAATTGTCACATTTCTATAAATAAATAATACATGTGCTTACAGCTTGACTGAATGACTGATTGATCGCTTGACTGATTGACTGATTGATGATAAACGAACGAACAAAAATGTTCACGGTACTCTAAAGTTAGCGCAGACGTGATTTGATTGAATTCCACGCGCAAGTGTGGAAAATTGGTGGAAATTCTAATTTTTATTGCTTAAGCATAAGCCAGCGCTTAGTAACATATATTGAAAGTTCTAGGTGAAACTCGCATTTCGAAAAGGAATTCACGCGCGCGGAAAACGGGTGGAAATGTGACTAGTAGCAAATCGCTTGACCTTGACAAAGCCGGACAAGAGAACATACTATCTCTATATATTAAGCCGCTTGTCGTGACTGACTGACTGATTGATTGACTGACTGACTGACTGATTGATTGACTGATTGGTGATCAATGCACAGGCCAAGCTGTAAGAGCTAGAAAGCTGAAATGTTCACTGTAGTTACCTTATCTGATGAAGGTGGGGTTGCGGTGAAATTCCACCCGTAAGCGTGGAAAAATCGAGGTAGACGTTTGTATGAGACTTTTTTGTTTCCCATCCGATTGGAATTAAACTCATTTTCACAGTTCTTGGTTCAAATTGATTTGAGAGGTGTTCCACACTTTTCCAAAAATGTATTCCTCCTTGACGAAAATGGGAGTCAAAGATTTGGTGGGGGTTACTTTTCGCGCTCAAATTCATATGCATCCGCAACTGTTGAAATTTGATGAACAAACTTAACTTAAACTAAACTTAACTTAATTAACTAATTTTCAAAGATCTTTATCAGAACCTAATTGCTTGGGAAATGCGGATCGAAGATTTAACGCACTTTTTTTTACGACCTCAGAGATTCTTACCACAAGAAAAATCTCTGATCTCAACATTTGAGTCTTCATTCGAAGCACTTTGAACATATTTTCGATTAGAACTGGAGATTAAGATTTTACGGCTACTTTTCAATTTTCCACGGACGTGTACTTAACGGGCACGGCCGGGCAAGGCCGGGCAATAAGCGCTAGTATTTCCATATTTTTAACAAAATGTTTTCTTTACATCAAATTATTGCAAGTTCAAATAGGGATTGTTATATTAGCCATAAATTAAATACACTTGCGATATATTTCTAGGCCAAAGACTCAAAGAAAAGCAAGACTCAGGTTTTCCTGCGATCAAATTGGAATAAATTTAGATCTATAAATACTTATTGTTGTTTATTTGAATTAATTTTATAGATGTTTTTCGCTTGCATTAGAAATAGACAAAAAGTTGGGGTAAGCGCAAATGAACAAAGTGGCCAACAAAATGCATTAATTAATATTTATATATATTATATATAAATATATATAGTATATGTATATATGCATATGGGAATATAAGGGTGTATATATGCATTTATATATATATATATTTGTTTAACAATTACAATTACAAAAAGTACACGACACGACATTAAATGTGGTTACGCAGGCGTTGGAAGGGGGGGGGGGGGGGGGGGGGGCAGGAGGTAGGAAAAACAACAGCAATGATAATAATATTATGAATAATATTAATAATAATAATAATAATAACTCATAAGTGGGCGATACTATGCACAATGCTCAGCTAGTTTAAGTTAAAAGTTTGCATAATTATAATGCCTTTACGCTTTGTTTTTGTTTGTTTTTCTCATTTGTTTAAATACATTTAGATGTGGGAGATGCATGCATGTATGTGTGCGTGTGTGTGTGTGTGTGTGTGTGTATAGAGTGTGCGATATATCGTGAAGGTTTCGACTTAGAGAACTAGAAAACATCAGATTATCAGCAGTATTTATCATAATTCTTATCTGCATCATTATCATTAGCATTATCAGCATCATCATCATTATCATTATCATTATCAGCATCAGCATCATTATCAATTTCATTATACATTCACATAGCGTTTATTATTTCATTACAACTTTATGCTGGCTTTCGAGCAGGAATCGCCTAACTGACGCCCGAACAATATTTGCAATAGTTAAACAATATCCCGCGCTCAATTGAATTGCATTTAGCATTTAGCATTTAGTTTCAATAAATTCATAGCTTAATAATTTCTTAGGACACTTTTGCGAAACACAATAACTTGAAGCATCTCTTGCGTACTTCTAAACTAAGTACTTATTTTGCATATATATATATATGTATATATATATACATACATTAGTTATATATAAGTATAGATATATATGATCTGTTTTGCATGTGCTTAAAGTGCTTGTTTAGGCCAGAATGTCGTCTACGCCATATTGAAGTTTTTCGTTTTTCGTTTTCCATTTAAGATTTCATATCCATGTTCAGTTAGAAATACATATATATATATATATGTATATATATATATTGTTTTTTATAGATCATTACAGTAGCTAATTGTAATAAGGACGTCCGCATTTTAGGAATTGTATTATTTTGTTATTCTTCATTGCACAAAGCACTTGGTTATTAGTTTTGCTACAAGCCTTGCTCTATGCATATATATATATACGTATATATATATATATATATATATATATGTATTTAAATATATATATATATATATATATATATATGTATATACATATGCACATACATATTTATATTGGTATTGTATATATATATATATATAGTTTATAAATGTAGTTTAGTGCTGCGGATAGAGTTGCTTTAATTGCTTGGCCTGGCCTGGCTGTGTTTCATTTGCTTTGCTGTGCATTTTGTTGTTGTTTGGTTGATTGGTAAATTGATTGATTTATTGATTGATTGATCGATTGATCGTGAGTTATAGCCGCCTAATATCTGCTATTGTTGAACTGTGAATTAACCGCCGAACTAACTGCCGATGAGGTCGCCTCCTGTACATGCTGATTGCGCAAAAACTCTGTGGTAAACTCCGCCTTGGCCTTGTCCATGCTGGCACCAGTGCTGCGATAGATGGTATGTATCTTCATGATCATCAGTACATTGGCGCCCGCGGTGATGGCAAAACAGAATGCTATTATCAATAGCAACAGTCCAACAATAATGCCCGAGGCGGAGCTCTCGAACTGGTCGATGGCCGTTATGAAGCCGCAATAGCCCAATTGCTTTGGGCCAACGGCCTGGACGACCGTGTAGACCGTTTGAAAGAAATAGACGAAAAAGAAGACCATAAAATTGAAGCTCGAATCGTTCCGGAATGCCTTATAAGCGGGCCGAAACCTAAACACCAAACAGAAAGAGAGAGAGACATATAAACATATATGAGTTTCTGTGCAGGCGAGAGCGAGAGAGATCGAGGCATATATATACCAGCAGACATATGAAGCGGGCGTAAAGAGCACAGTATAGAAAATGGCCAGAAATAGATTCGACACCTTGCCCGCATGAAATAGCAATATGAGACCTCCGATAATATTGGCCACCAGCGTCAAAGTGTAAACTGCAAGTAATAATAAGTATGTAAGTAAAATAGATATACAAAGTGTGCAATTGACGGAGCTGATTCAAGCAAATGATTGACAGACTCACTGACTGATTGAAGGACTCCCTGACTGCCTAATTAAAGGACTCCCTGACTGCCTGATTGAAGCACTCCCTAACTGTCTCACATATAAACAGGGAACACATACAAACCGATTGACTCGGACTGATTGACTGCCAGATTGAAAGACTCCCTGACTGGCTCACAAGTGATTGACTGCCTGATTGAAAGACTCCCTGACAGGCTCACAAGTGATTGACTGACTGATTGAAAGACTCCCTGACTGGCTCACAGATACACAGATTCCACATACAAACTGACTAACAACTAGACTGATTGACTGCCTGATTGAAAGACTCCCTGACAGGCTCACAAGTGATTGACTGACTGATTGAAAGACTCCCTGACTGCCTCACAGATACACAGATTCCACATACAAACTGACTAACAACTAGACTGATTGACTGCCTGATTGAAAGACTCTCTGATTGTCTGATTGAAGGGCTCCGTGACTGCCACACTGATAGACAGATTACACATACAAACCGACTGCCACAAAGACTGATTGACTGACTGATTGAAGGACTATCTGACAGGCGGACAGACTCACTGACAGACGGATCACATATCAGACTGATTGATTGATTGATTGAGGGAGTCACTTATTGAAAGACTACCTGGCTGATTGACTGACCACAGCACATGCTGATTGACAGACAGAAACGCTTGCCTGACTGTCTGAATGACGGACGGACATAAGGTTTGACAGACAGATTTATCTGACAGAAATACTGACAAGCTAATTGATTGACTGACCGGTAAGCCGACTGATTGATGTGTGGACCATTGTGTTTTTAAAAGAAAAATGAAGCTTCAGTTGAACAAATTTCGCTATGAAGTGAGAGTTACTAAATATATATATAATATTCAAGAAGCTACATTTTAAGTTTAATGGCTCTTGCCCTTCAAACCTGCCTGTTACATACATTTACACAAAAATATATAATACACTTTTTACCCAATGGGTTCAAGGTTCATAGAAAATGTTTGCCAACGATAATTGGCATACCAAAAAGCTGGCATTAGCTATTAATAATGAATGAATGAATGATTTGTGATGTCGTACGACACACTAGAATACAATAAACCAATGCACACGCGGCGAGACAGTTGCATTCAGACAGACATAGCTAGACTCTGATCAAGAATACATATACAGAACGACAGAGGCTTTGTGCTGTCTGAAAAACCTGTTTCAAGCCATTTGAAATGGATACAGGGTATGATAAGTCATGTTACAATCAAATCGAACTGAAATTATGCAAATTGTGCTAGCAATCAATGGGTAGAGGGAGAGGTGGGGAGGGGGGAGGGAGGGCAGCTAGTTGCGGAGCTACGTGTTTGTGAAATGCAGAAACGTTCGACATTTTGATTAGCAGAGCGTATGACTAATGCGATTCGGCCTTATCAGGCTGGGGCGTCTCAATTATGGAGCATAGCAATAAGGCGATAATAAATAGCTGGCACAATGGCTAACAGAAATGCTTACACATCCAGATGTAGTACAAATGCTTGACCAGCTTTTGAAACTCGGGCGGTATCTCGACCTCAAAGTCCTGATAGAAGCACGGCTTGACGCAAAAATTATCCGGCAGCGGTGGCCAATTATTCAGCTGCGGCACATTGCCCTGCAGCTGCTGTTCGCGGCGATCCAGTTCGGCGGCCTTGCGGTCCAGCTCCTCCTGTCGGCGCTGTAAATATGAGAAGACAATCAGCTAACTGTGACAGCGCGTTGCAAGTGTGCGTGTGCGTGTGTGTGTGTGTGTGTGTGTGTGTGGATGTCATGCAATAGACAAGACACACACGCACACCCAAGCAGCTGCAGCCGCAGCAATGCAGTCACAACAACAACAACAACAACAACAAGAGCAATTGTTGCAATGCGAGTTGCGCTTGGTAATTCGAGCAGCAGCACACATCTTGCTGCCGCCAGACCTGGTCTAAGGTAAAGCATTTGAATTAACCTGCAGCTCCTCGGAGGTGATCTGTATGCTGGTGCTGGGAGCAGCGCCGCCCGCTAAATTGGGCTGGCGGGGCGGAATGTTCTGTGAGAGAGGCTGCACGACGGCCGCCGTATTGGTTGAGTTGATTTGCAGTTGCGGCTTCGCTTGCTCCTCGAACGGATTGTAATCCTCCAGTGAGACATTGGTGGACATGCGCGTCGCCTGCTGTATGGCGGGATCCTAAATCACCAACAAAAAAAAATATATATAATATAATAAAATAAATAAATGCATAAAAGAAAAATGTGAGCAAAGCGTAGGCGGCACACACACACACACAGACACATATATTTGGATATGAGTTGCCGTCGTTGCACCTACAATCACACACATACACATATACGTTTACAAATATCTGCGTGTGTGTGTGTGTGTGTGTGGTTTTCATCAGCAGAATTTTTGTTGTCGGGCTTACCGCAAATGGATTATCCAGATTGGGCTCACCAAATGGATTTTCATCGAAACCGTTGCCGGACATTTTGTTATTGTATTTGTTGTGCTGTGCTAAATGAAACGCACACGATTTTTGCGAATTTTTCGCTGCTGGCTTTTGGTTTTCTTTTCCTTTGACTTTTTTCTTTTTTTGCTTTTGAGTGACGATTTTATGGAATTCGATGTGACCAGTTGCGCGATTTCGTGTGTGAGCAGCTATGGGTATTGTGTGTGTGACCGCATGCGGCAAGTGGTTGAATACGTATGCAGTATTTAAAATACCAAAAACGACAAACTATCGAATATCGATCAATTAATTGCGCTGCCAGACTATAGTAAATTGTCCGATCCGCAATGTTTAGCTTTCTACGCATTGTGACGTCACAATTTTAATGACTTAATCGAGCTGCCAGACAAGAGTGATATTTGTTATCGCTGATTATTATCGATATACATGGTAAGAAATCAAATTTAAATATTTTATAACGTAAGAAACTTTTATTAATTAAAAGTACAGCTTAACACATGCACACGCATTTGATGTACTTGGAAGACAAAATGACGCTTGCTGCGCATTTGTAAAGTTATACTCATTACATTCACAAACATATACAAAAAATTTATGCTTAGATACACATTATTATTATCATTATCATTGTAATTATTATTATGTATGTATATATATATATAATTATAAGCTACATGTACGTTACATGCTACAATAAATTAAATCTTTATTGTTCTCTCTTTATATTCGCCTGCTGTAAGTACTTTTCATTTTGCATTATTTTTCTCTATTTATTTTATTTATTTTTCTTTTTTTTGTCTTTTTGTGTTTTTGCGAAAATTGCGCACCAAATACTTTCGACGCATATTGACTGAAGACCCACGATTTCTATACAAATAGATAGAACCTACAAACTAAATTTATGTAAAAAAAAAATTTGTATATATATATATATGTTATATTGAATTGTATTACATGCGTATGTATGCATCTGTGTAAATATGTTTAGCTTTAGATAGCGAAAAAAAAAGAATCGAGCCTTTCTTCGCAAACTCTTTGCCATTTACAGTTAAGGCTGACAGATTTGAAACTGGGCGAAATTCAACCTAATCCCACATTTCGATTTGTGATTTCAAAAGCGTTTTCAAGCGGTTTCATTTGATTGTTTTGCTGTAGTTGTTGCTGTTGTTGTTGTTGCTGCTGTTTCTTGTTTTTCATTCCGCTTTCATTCGCTGATTCGTTATGCAGTTCGTTTAATAATTATATGGACCATACTGCGAGCCATGGTAGTAGGGACCCGGATAGATCTGCGGCTGGGCGTAGTTGGCGTAGGGCGGATACGGCGGCTGCTTCTGCGAGTACACTGCAAAAAACAAAAAAACCGAGGAGATGGTTTGGGTATAAAATAAATCATGATGGGTTTCAATTAGAGCTGCTGGAATTCACATACCGGGCATCAGATACTGCAGATTGAGCTGCTCCTCCTTCTCGCGCTCGTTGCGCAGACAGACGGCGGCGCCGGAGAGCAGAATGGCAGCCAGCAGACAGGTGCCAATGCCAGTCCAGGCCACAATGTATGACCAATCGTAGACAATCTTTGTGTTATCGCGCAGCACCTGCAACAAGCGTAAACAACTGGCATTAGTGACTGGGGCTGCGAGTACGATGCGAACAAACAATCCACATACCGTATTCCACTGCTGGAAGTAATCCTCGCCAACGACTTTCTCCTTCTCAAAGAACTCAACCGTATGCCAGAGACCCATGGCGCCGGCGGCCAGCAGACAGGTGACCAGCAATAGTATCGATGTGGCCGTTATGGCGCCCGAGGAGCGCTTCCAGCAGCCGGATAGCCCGGTCCAGAATGCACAAAATATGGTCACGAAACTAATTATGAACAGCGCAATGCAGGAGCGTGCCAAATGCAGACGTGATTGCGCATCCTCATTGGATATCTTGTCGTCCTCCACTTGCGGAAAATAATCAATGTTCGAGCAGTGCGTCTCAATTGGCGACAAGTACGTGGGCACTGCACAAAGAACACGCAATTCAAGTAGTTTAGCTCAAGGCATTTTTCTGGACTTATTTTGGTTTAGTTACCTGCTGTTACCGGCGGACGCTCCTTGGGATAGCATATTCTGAACAGGCCGCGGGTTCTCGTATAATAATAATACTTGACATTCAAATTGTGCAGCAGCGACTCCGCATCCGAGTGCTTGGCGGCAAAAGCCTGCGAAAATCAATTAAAATCAAATTATATTATTGAATTAACCTTCTCAAGGGATTAGCTGTGTGTGTGTGTGTGTGTGTGTGTAAACTTCCAACACCTGAGCTGGTCTTCAGGAGAGACACCTCGCAGAACCAGTTCCGAGTTTCGTGTTCAAATATATAAAAACTAAACTGCTCGACTAGCAGATACCCTGCGCCCAATATTCTAACCCCCCCTCTTTTATACACATGTGTATACTCGGTGCCTATTGTCCGATCTGTTTGAAATTCAATAAATATCGCAACGCAAGGCTCTTACTTTAAGAAATGATTCGTATTAATTATATTACATACTCTACTATATACTCTTATATACTCTTTTTCCAGCTCTTGCAATTCTCGAACCATGCCTCAAAATCGATATTTATCGATATTATGTATATGAGTTATGGAGATATCGAAGCATAATTCAAGATTTCTAGCTTCCGATATCAACTAAGCCAAACGCAAAAAATACAATTACCCTTATAGAGGGTATTATGATAAAGTCATTCAATGTGTAACGCAGCCTCGAAGATTATTAGATCAGAATCCTATATGCAATAATATTTCTATAATAGATTTCAATTCTTCTATTTCTAGAGAAAAAAACAAGTTTTTTGCTAAACGATTTTCTCTGGTATCCAAAGTATTCTGTTAGACCCTTCAGTCATATCGCTGGAAAGGGTATCAAAACTTCGGTATGCTGCGCATTCCGTCTGTTTCTTGTCATTGTTATGGCTGATGTGTTATGTCTCGATCATCATCCGGTCATCTTCCGTTTTATTTCGTAATGACACGCAAATGTATATAAATATCTGTATATAGATCTGACAATGGGCGTCATGCTATTATCGTGGGAGTCTCCCTCTCTCTCTCCCTCTCCCTCTCTCTCTCTGTGTGTGTGTGTATATTTATCAGATCAAGTGTTGCCGTTAAACACGTTCCGCAGTTCCCATACGTCATTAGTACATGCGATTCATTGCGAATCGAGCCAAGACTCGGCTCTTACAACTGAAGGTCTCCCATTGTCAACTTGTGCTAATCATGATTCGAGGCCAAGTACTCAGTTGGGTCTTGAGAATGTGAGTTCTGATTTATGAAAACTAACTAAATCGACATGAAATCTAAAGCAAAACACAATCTTGAGCTTAAACAGAAACGGGAACCTTTTATGCGACTAGCTTTCTTTATTCCCATATTTCGATATCGATTTTTATCGATTGCTGACAGACGGCTCAAGTTATCGACTATCGATAACAAATAATTGTAACTAAATATTACAAGCGATATCAAATATCGAACATTGTTTCGTTGAACACAAAATCCAAGAACTTTGCAGCTGTCACCAAGTCTGCCCCGCCCCGAAAACGAGTTGGAAGCCCCATAGGGGCTTGTAGATTTGGCCACTTTCTCGTTGACCCACGTTCGACCTTCGCTCGTCGCTTTCTTCGCTCTATTCGACTTGCCCAGTTGGGCGTAACTGAACAATTAGCTTGGCCAATTGATGCTCTCATTTCCAGGAGCTTGGCACATGACTGATTTCTCGAGGCGTTTTATAGCTGAATGATTTGCCAATGCACTCCCGAGAGCAACTCAATCCCCCCCCCCCTTTTTTTTCAACCGAGCTATGCTATAAATTAAACGACTCGAACTGCACAGCTGGTTGGGCGGGGGATGGCTGGTCAAGGGGAAAGCCCTTAATTGCTCCGCTCGCGACTTTCATAAGAAAGTTACAAAATAAATCCGAGGGCCGAAACGAAGCGAAAACATTTCGTAAGACAAAACTGGGCGGGCGGCACCTTCCCAGTTTCCATTGAGTTTGTGGCGTTGCGTAAGCGAAAAGCTTTTTTCACAAGCATCCAAATTTACATAAGTCCAGTTCTTCAGTATGAACAGATACCGCCCCGCCCCGCCCCGCCTCGCACCCCACTCTCCTTCTCTATTTCTGTTTCTCTGTCTTGTCAATAAAAATTTGTTAAGTTTTCTTTTGGGCCGTCGCGTTGTTATTTAAGTACCGGACATCAGGTAAAACACGTTTGGTGGTTTTTTCTTTCTTTCTTTTTCGGGCAGCGAACAAAACGCTTTTCTCTTTTTTTTATTTTTTTTCTTATTTTTTTTTTTTAGAGGGGTGAGCTGCTTCTTGGCTAACATAATGCTTATTGTTTAGCTGATTAACATTTTAACCAAATATGTAGAATTTCATGTGGCAAACGTGCGGAACGTGATGCCATTCCAAATTTTCGGATATAGACACATTTGTGTTGTGATCCAGGAACGCTGCATCTATATACGGTACGTCTCGGTTGCATGAGAGTTTAGCATGTGAGACATGACATGTCCGAATGTCTCGAATTACTCGCAGATCGCAGTTGATCGAGCTGATCTTTGTGCAAATGATCAGGCAGCTTAATCGAGAGATAAGCTGTGCAGTGTGCCACAGTAGCTAGCACGATCTTCGGGATAAGAGTATATTAATCCAACTGATCTGTATTACAACCGATCTCTCATAACAATAGAAATCATTTAGAAAGCTAAAACTTGATCGATCTCCAGTTAAAAAAAGGAGTCAAAGTGATCTGCAACCAACCAAACTCTATTCCATTAAGTTGCTCTAAGGGATCATTGAGCGATCGATCTTCAGTTATAAAAGCAGCTCTTTTCAGTTCTGGCGAGCTAAGAGTCTATTAATCCAATTGATCTCTATGAAGGTAAGAGCTCACAACAGTCGAAAACATATTAAGATCTACAACTCGCTCTGAACGATCTTTGAACGATCAAATGGAGTCAAGGTGATCGTAGAGTCTTTTGATCCAACTGATCTCTAATATAGTAGGTGGTTTTAACAGTAGAAAACAGTTCAAGATCTACAACTCGATCTAAGGGATCGAGCCTTAGATTTACTACAAGAGAATCTATCTGATCTCTATTACTATAAAACTTATCGAGCTGCATCCAACCGATCTGTGGTCAATAGAAAAC